TCTGTCATAATATGTGCGTGTGCGGTCAGGTTTTCTTCTACTTATTAATGTTTTGAGTATTAGTTTTGCTGTTTTTAAGATATATGTACCTGGCAAAATGTGACAATTATCGGTCTAAACGACTGGCGGTAAACAGCAACTCATTCAGAAATGAAATAAAAAGAGAAATAAAACTCTACCTTTTTTAAGTCCACGTGCGGAAATTTGGTTTGTAATGGCGTGACATAGGCTATTATACATACATAATTATGATACATGCAAGTAAATAAATAGCCAACAATAGGGCCTATAATAGATATACACATATATTGAACCAGCCCCCCCACAGGAATAATATAAACGCGCTATCACTGGTCGCCATTTTGCAGTGCCCCTTGGAATACCAGCCAAACATACGTGAAGACGTTTTAAATACTGTTATACGGTTTTCTTGCTTGCTGATCTTTTCCACCACCCCTACCTTTTTTCACTCTTTTCTTTTTTCCTTTTCTTTCTCTCTTTTTCTCTTCAAGCAACAAACCAATCTTTATTTTGTAGCTCGCCAATAATTCCTCGTTGATGAAGTATCATTTCGCGAAATAGATCTAGTACTTTTTTTTTCAAACGAAAAAAAAAAAAGACAAATAGTTAATATCAAGAATATATATATTCTATATATAAGAAGTGAATGATCCCATATCCTGTTCTCAAAGTGTTGTGTACCATAATGAAACTGAATAGAAAAGTTTAGCCTGTTTATACCTTTATAATGGGAACCGCATATTTGCAACGCCGCGTTGCGATTAGTGCCAGTGCTAAATGAAACGCCATGTGTTAAATATAAGGCTTAATCTATGATTCGTTATTGGCCGAATGGACAGCGCGTCTGCGTTTGAAGCTTGAAGTAAAACCATGACTTTATGAGCGTAGGTACGAATCCCGGGCCTGGAAGTTTTTTTGGGGTTTTTTTTCTCCTCTTCCCAACTGACCAACAATCTTTTCCCATTATTAAAACGTTTTGCTGCGTTGGTGCACACCATGGGCGCGCAAAAGAAGGGCAAGGCAAAAGTCTCGTTAAAGACGAAGGCACCAACAACCTTTTCCTCCTTATTCTTCATTTGGTTCTAAATAAAGTCAAACTACACCTTCCATTGTTAACTGGAAGTGCGTCAGAGTGCAGGGTCTTGATTTCGTTTTAGTTTTAGTCACACTTTTTACGGTGGTTGCAACACAATACGGTCATATAAGTGCCGAAGATTACAGGTGTTATTAAGAGAGAGTAACAAACACAGAAAAGAAAGAAGCAAGATGATGGACTATAAAGTATTAGCATTCCTTCCCCTTCACCTATCCCGTAGACTGAATGCACGTCGGAGCGCTTTTGAAGATTTGGCCACCAGCTTCCTCCACTCCTTCCAGTCTTCAGCTTTCCCGAGCGTGTCTTTGAGTTTCAGGCCTGTCTATTTCTTGATTTTGTCCTCCCAACTCTTCTTCGGTCTGTCTCTGCATCTATTTCCCTTTACGCTACTTTACAGGATCATCTTGGCAAGGCCGGATGAACGGGTGATGTGTTCATACCATTGCAGTTTGCGTTTCCTTACCAGAGTGAGAAGGTCAACATATGGTCCAATTTCATTTTTGATTCGTTGTTTGACTTCATCATTTAATTTTGTAATGTGGTCTTTGTATGAGAGAGATATCAAGGATTTTTCGGAAGCATCTCATCTCCACAGCTTTGATCCTTCTGTCAAGGTCTGCTTTCAAGGTCCAGGTTTCACACACATACAAAAATACTGACATGACCAGGGAACGCATCAGTCTGATCTTTGATCTGATGGTGATATTTCTGTCGTTCCAGATGGTTTTCAACTTGATAATTGCTGCTGAAGTTTGCGCCGTTCTGGAGATTATTTCTGGTTTTGATCCTTCGCCTGTCACTATTGCACCCAGGTATTTCAAGCTGCATACGGTCTCAAGCCTCTGGTTGTTGACCTGGATGTCTACTGTGATGTTCTTGCTGTTGTTAGACATCAGTTTGGTCTTCTCAGCACTGATTTCCATGCTGTAGGCTGTGGGGGTCTTGTCAATTAGACAGTCTACTAAGCTGACTAGTTCTTGCTCTTGTCCCGCAAGGCCGTCTATGATCGGGTGCTCTACCTTCAAAATCAACTATATTTGGTCCCGCAAGTCATCCCATATTTCAGTTGAGAGGCGATTTGGTATTGTGAAAAAAATGTGCAGGCCTAAAAATCGGTTAATCTTACTTGTGAAGCAAAGGGCTAGAGAAGAAGGGAAATAACCGAGGAAAAGGCTCGACCACCACAAGTACTAAAACAAGAACGCTCAATGGTCGATCGATGGTGCTTTTTTTTTTTTTTTTGGCAGTCGTTTGTTTTGTTTTGTTGTTTTTTTTTTGTTTGTTGCTTTTTCTGCTCTTTTCTATTTTTGCTTTTTTTTTTTTTTGGCAAGTGTTAACTGCGCTCGCAACTGTATTGTCATAAGCTGTTACTATTAGATCTTACCTACCCTAAGATCAGGTGTGTGGCTGAAAGACAGCAGTAAGAAAGGGCCAATGGGTAGTAGTAGAAAGGCTGCAGGAACAGTTAGGGACCCAGAGGAGGGGGCAAAGGGGGTCGGGTGCGGACAGAAAGTGAAGACGAAGGCAGACGACAGAACATGGTTGGATGTGGAATGGAGGTGAAGGGAGACAAATTTAGAGATGAAAATTTTCGGTCCCTTCCAGGTTTCGAAACCGGGACCTATTGAAAGAGAGGCGAACATCGAATCCTCAGACCACGAGAGCACCCGATGGTGGTAGTTGTGCTACCAAGAGATCGAGAAAGAGAGACAAACACACACACACACACACACACACACACACACACACACACACACACACACACACACACACACACACACACACACACACTCATGCACACACAGCGAAAGAGAGAGAGAGAGAGAGAGACAAACTTGACAAAGACAGACAGATATACAGACAGACAGACTGACACACATACAGAGAGAGAGAGAGAGACAGAGAGAGATAGATAGATAGATAGATAGATCGATAGATAGATAGATAGATAGAGAGAGAGAGAGAGAGAGAGAGAGAGAGAGAGAGAGAGAGGGGGGGGGTGGACAGAGAGAGAAAGACAGAGAGAGAGAGAGAGAGAGAGAGAGAGAGAGAGAGAGGGAGAGAGAGAGAGAGGGGGAGAAAGCAGCGGAGAATAGGCAGAAGAGACGGAGAGTTCACACGTAATAATAAATGGAATACTTGGATAAAGGCTCCGGGTACCATAATTCTTTGTAAAGTATTCTTTCAAAGGCCATTTCCTAAGTTTTCCTTCATCCCCAGCCCGTGCTCCACGAGTCTCATTAAGCGATCGTTTGACCTAAAAGTTTTTATTTTTATTTTAATAACACAACATTCAACATCACCTCACAAGTAAAATGTTTATGACTTAAAAGAGACAAAACACAGTTGATTTTGGCGGTAGAACACTCAGTCACAATACTAGAGGAGTCCTCTTTTTTGAAGAAGGTAACAGCAACCCGAAATAACTGCTTCAGTAAAGGAAACAATTACCTTAGAAAGTCTCGCTAAACAACAGTAAACAGAACAACAGAAAAGCCGCTTTAATAAGTGAAAGACAAATCTAGCAAAACATTTTAATGTCGAAATATTAGGAAATGTTTTAAACCTTAGCAAGCCCTTATAGAAAGCACATTTTTCAAAATGAACAAAATTAATGACAGATAGAAAATATTCTAAGCAAAACCATAATATAATATAATTGTTAGTACACCGACTATTTAAGCGAATCGAGGTACTAGATAAATGAATACGGTCCCCAGGCCATATCTGGTCCCGTTTCACTTTGATTACCTTGTCAAATAAGACAGCCTTCGCCCCTGTGAATACATGTTAGGTGGTCCCTTGTCACTTCACTTCTCGTCTTGTGCTCATCACTATGGCAGCATTCTGCTTGTTCATAAATTGATTGGGTGATAATTTAAAAATATCAATGAACAAAAACAACAGAAAAGTAAACCTAGGGTTAGGCTAGACTTAGTATTGACTGATTAGAACAGTCAAAGATTGTGATTTGTAACAGTATTATGTTTACGCAATGAGGAAAAGACCACTCTGGCCGAGGTAATTTTGTTTCAAGAAAAATAATTGTAAGTGTTTTTAAATGTGTACATTATTATTATTAACGAACCGGTTCGCGGTACCTCTGTTTCCCCATGTCCTATACTATATAAACAAAGTAAAAAAAAATAAATTTTTTTCTCACTGATATAGCCTCTTGCTAGGCCCTTTTCAAACTGATCTCTTCTTTTCATGATACAAATACAGCGAAATGTGCAGGGAAAAACCCAAACAATGACAATAACAACAACAACAACAAAAAACCCATGACTGATCGAAACTTGGAAAGAAGGGAGATGATTAATGCCAAATTAAAGATAGATTAGGTCTAGTATATTAAACTTTTTTGCCTCCCTTAATATTTTCGGCCGTCGGAGAAAACTGCTTTTCCTAGACTTCTAAGTTCTATTAGCCTACTTACTGAAGAATACATTCCTAATCAAATTATGGGGGGAGGGGGGTGGCCTATCTTTTTGGTACGACGGGTGAAGACTTAGAACTTTTCTTGCTTTGCGTTGATGAAGTAGATTCCAGCCATAGATGTACACTTTCCAGCACTAAAAGATCCAATCCAGCCTTGCCTAAAAAGAAGAGATCTCAGAGAACGAGGAACCATGAGCAAAATTGCCATTTTTGCATTTGATCTATGAATGAAGTTGCTCTCGCAGACAAAATGTGAATTTCAGATACTTTACCCTTTGGATAATCAGGAGTCGATTATTTAAAACGTTGAAATGTTTGCAAATTTTCTTTTGCCATTCTAGTAATTCTGGAGTTTTGGACTCTCGACAATATCCGTATTTTACAGCACAGACAATTATTGGAACTTTTTGGCTCCAAAAGCCAGCTTCTAACTGGAAAACCGGCAAGCGCAGTTTCGAGCTTGGATTGGTGCAGGGGGCACAGCAGACAACGGAGGCCAATTTGTGTTGTGCTTTCTTTTCGGATAAGGGTTGTTTGTGAGCTTGATTATTTCTTCGTCATGGATCCTCAGACGTATATGGATGTTGCCACAGTGGTAACGAAGTTGAAAATGTATCCATATTTTGACATTGCCCACTACACCCTTATGTGTATCGCTGTCAGAGAGGATGTACTGCCCCAGCAAGGTGAGTGCCCTCTGTATCCACAATGCTCCTTCGTTCTCCGAAGCATCCCATTGCGTGGTTGCTCTGTGTAGGCATCTAGACTTATTAGATTAGATCTAGAATCTAGATCTAGATTAGTAACTAGTCTAGGAGATCTAGGCCTAAATCTAAATATAGATCTAGTTCAGAAAATGCAGGAAGGTGAGAAAGATGGCCTGTAGTAGTGTATCGTATGTATATGTGTTGAAAGATTTGTCGTGGTGCTTTATTTACTGCTGTCACTATCAGTCTAAAGCCAGAGAGGACTGTCCAGCTTAAGTTGCACACCAGATTTGAAATAGAGTAGGGGTCTACAGGCCTCTTGATTGCAATGCATCAAAGATGAGTAGGGTAGGCCTATTAGAACTAGATCTAGATTTCTAGATCTATAACAACATTACATTTTGATTGAGTTGAGTCAGGTCAGACTCGGAGAGAGATGGCGATGTCAGGGCGATTGTTAAGATTCCTGTGTTTAATTCCGATGTGCGTTTTTCATACCCTCAGGCATATTTCGCTTTGGTCCCTAATTCTAGGTTAGGGTTAGGGCTAGGGTTAGGGTTAGGGACCAAATATGCCTGAGGGTATGAAAAACGCACATCGGAATTAAACACGGGAATCTTAACAATCGCCGACGTCAGTGGTGAGGCAATCTTCCAGATCTGCAGGTTTTTAAAATCGAAGTGACTATTCGGACTAGAGTCCGAATATGAAAAAATGTTATTCGGACTCTGATTCTTGTCCAGCATGACATCACTTCCGACTTCCTGTGACTCGTGACTTCGGCTTCCTGTCCTGCCTCACTCGTGACTCGCCTCAGGCTGGGTAGAGACCGGGATCACTTCGGGCAAAATTGCGTTTTGTGCAGGAGCCGAGTTTTTATCGTATGATGAATTTGAGGCCGGCCTGAAAAGTTATAGCGCTTCTAATAAATGTTTATTTGTCAAGAGGTGATCAGAAGCAATTAAAGATGGCTCGTTAGTGTGTGTCGGGGTCGGATGGGCGGCCTGCACACGTGTGGCTGTGTGCGTGTCGGGGAGGGGGGGGGGGGCACTATCGGTCCGGGAGTTGAATGTCGCATACGCGTCAGTCTTTTCCCCCGGCAACTGATCATTATATTACAATAATAATAATAAGCTAGTCTTGACGTAGATCTACGTAATGAATTGCGCGCTGGTCTATGGAATCAAAAGTTGCCGTATGCTCAGCTCTACACAGCAACACAACTTTTTCTTTGTAAACAATCGAGATGACACAGGCTTGTGTATTTGAACGAATCGGTCTTTTTTTTTACACAGCTCATAATATGCAGGTGCCAGGTGGTCTGCTAATCTTCAATTTTACCTTTTTCTACAACAAAGAAAGTGAGAAACATGGGGGGGGGGGCGTATCAATGAGGCGGCGGGCATCGTATCGGCAGAAAAGGTGTGGAGGAAACTAAAAAATGGCGGAAAATTGGAAGCACTGAACGTTAGATCTATAGAACGAAGACACTTCCTTTTTTCCGGACCGGAGTCCGAAAAACATTTTTTCATATTTGGACTCGAGTCCGAATAAGAATTTTTTTTATTCGGACTCGGGTCCGAATATGAAAAAATGTTATTCGGACTAAAGACGGCCTTTTAAAATTCCCATTAAGCCACTCAGTCAATCAGGTTGAAAGGTAAAAAAAACCGAAGTGTAGATCTATACAGACCCGGTAACCAGGAACAAAGTCATGAAGTATATGGACCCGGTATGGGAAATCTTTTGTGATTTCAGAAAGTTTCAGCGCCCAGATCCGGTAGTGTGTGTGTGTGTGTGTGTGTGAGAGAGAGAGATCAGGGGGAAGTGCTATAAATATCACATGCCCCAGTTGACAGGGAGGGAACAAGAGAAAGGTAGAGTGGGAAAGTAGGAGGGGGATAAAGAAAGACAGAGACAAACAAAGAGAAAGAGAAGGCGAGCGGTACACAGATGAAAGAATAGAGAGAGAGAGAGAGAGAGAGAGAGAGGGGGGGGGGGGGAGAGATAGAGAGGCAGAACAGAAATAGAGAGGGTGACTGCTCGATTGAAATTATGACATTGTTCTTTGCTTCAATTTGCCTTATTATTGATTCCTCCAACTCCAAAACGGAGGAAAAAACGATCGTTCATCGAAAAGACATCCGCTATCATTAGATCTAGGCCTCGAAACTAGATTTATGATTTATGTCTGTCTGTCTAGTGATCTAGACCTAGGCCATAGATCTAGAAGAACCTAGGTCTACCCCAAGGAGGTCCTTGGTCTACCCTGAGCCAAGATCAGGAGGGCGCTGAAACTTTCCGAAATCACAAAAGATTTCCCGTACCGGGTCTGTAAATCTATACTTCGTGACTTTGTTCCCGGTTACCGGGTCTGTATACACTCCCTAAAAAAAGGTCAGGGCTAACTAGAGGTTTGGGTTAGAGTTAGGAGGGTTCGGTAGGGTTAGGGTAATCCCAACCCTTTCCCTCCTACCCTGCCCTTTCTCTAATGATCTAGATCTAATTATCCTGCCTATCTTGGAGTTACTTTGACCCTACCCTGCTCCTAAAACCACATTGATTCCAGAAAATGTGATGAAACATCATGAGACCTTGGAAAACAGTTAGAAATTATATAGACGTGTCTGACGTGTCTAATTTTTAAAAAAACCACTAGTAGGCTAACTTAGTACACTTTATCTTTGACTTCAGAGGCCAAAGTTGCATCTATCTCTTCTGACTTCTGAATTTGAAATTTAGTACGTAAAGTTATGATGTAAATTAAAATATTTTTTTTGGAAATGTCCCACTCCTTTATTTCAAGGCTCTTACTTTTTCACTGTCAGGATGATTATTAGGGTTAGAGGCTAAAATGTAATATCATCTATGAGACGATATTTTTAGTATAGATCTTGACATTTAGATGAAGTTATTTCACAGCCAACATTCCAGTTTGACGAAAGGGCTAACTTTCTTTTGGCATGCCTATGGGGTCTTTGACGGTTTACAGGGATACTTCTTCTCTTCTCGACAATCTACCACTGCACCAGTCTGACAACTCTGTTCCCTCTTGATGGTCTACCATGATAATTGTGTTCTACTTGTTGATAGTTTAGCACACAAATAGTGTCATGTACATTAAACTAGACCGCATTTTGCCCTGTGGATCAAAGTCTCCCCCGCCCCGAGACGAAGTGTGACAGATGGTTTTGCCATTGATATATATGTATATATGTTTTGTTGTCAGACTAGTTCGAGATGTTTGATGTTCTCTCTGGATTTGTTCTGAAAATGTTTTAAATGAATGATTAATAAATTAATTCTACAGATTTCATTTTGTGGGCAACAGCTGGAGAGGATTGTGCTCTTTTAAGATTTAAAAAAAAACCGCAGTTGTTTCCATTTTGCCTTCCTTTTTTGTTCCATTCCCTTTACTAGTGTTTTTGGGTACCTACTGCACACTTCTTGTTATATTCTTTTGTGTCTGTGTATTGAAATGATTTTGTTTTTTTCAAATCTCCAAGTTGTACCTTTATTTCTTTCACCACCTTTCTGTATCCTTGTCTCATAGCACCATCATTGTCGTCCTTCCCTGGTAGGGCCTACTCAGATGCTCCACCAGACTATAAAATATAAAAGCACTCCCGTTTCTGACAATGTTTCCTTTGCCATCTGTTTCCCAACATTACGAGATGACTGCAACACCAGAAGGTGACATCGTAAAATGTGGACTCCGCTAGTTGAGTCAAAATGTTTCTGGAACCCCTCATCTGCTCATCTATACGTCCCAATCTTGTCCCGATCGGTGTAGGGTACTGTCCTTTGAGTGAGCTCGCTATAGACAAAGCAGGAGGCTGGAAAACATGAGCTGGCCTTAAAAACAAGTTTAAACTAAGACTAGGAGGGAATTGCAAAGACGTGTGCGGGTGTTTAGGGGGTGCGCGTGCGTGTGTGTGAATGCATGTGTGTGTTTGTGTGTGTGTACTATTATGTCATATTGTGTGTGTATGTGTGCGTGTGTGCGAGCGCCACAGTGTATAAATGTGTGTTTGTGTGTGCACTATGTGAGTGTGCGCGCGCGTGTGTGCGAGCGAGCGAGCGCCACAGCCCTTTCTGCTCTCTCTCTCTCTCTCTCTCTCTCTCTCTCTCTCTCTCTCTCTCTCTCTCTCTCTCTCTCTCTCTCTCTCTCTCCCTCTCTCTCCTTCTCTCTCCCTCCCTCTCTCTCTCTCCTAAACACACGCACACATGTGTTTGCACTCCCTTCCTAGTCTTGCTTGAAACCCATTATATTTCCGGCTTGCCCATAATGTTTTCCAGTGCTTCCTGTCTTGTCATTTTAATGAGCTCACTCAAATTGTAGTCCACCGACAGGGATTTCCCTAATAGAAATAGCTTTGTAAATAAACGTCTCTTGTGTGTGTATTTGAACCGATGCCCGCGCACGTGCATTTTTCTGAGAATCAGCGAGTGCTGGTTCTTCAAGAGCCAAACTGTTATTCTCAAGCTGACTATCAGTTTTTCATTCCAGTCTTAGTATTGTTCTTTACAGTCACCAAGTTTAGACATTTTTACACCAGAAACTGGTTTTTGGGTTTGTCAATAGTCGAGGCTTCTTGAGAAAGTTCATGGATTTAACCCGCTGTCTGTGTTGTCCTGTTTTCCAACTGATTTCTCTTGTCATGTCAACCTTACCATCAGTGCAGTGTGCATGTTCTCTTTTTTGGATTACATACATCATCATATACATATTATGTACATGTATTGTCTTTTTCTTATATTATTATGAGAAATGGGGCAGAAATTGTTCTTCTCTAAAATCGCCTCCTTTCACCTCCTTTCCTGCTCTTTAAAAATGTTCTGTCGTCTGCTTTCGTCTCCCCTTTCTGCCCCTCACCTCCTTTGCCCCCTCCTCTGGGCTTCTGACTCTTTCTGCAGCCTTTCTACTGCTACTCCTTGGCTCCTTCTTACTGCTGTCTTTCAGCCACACCCCTGACCTT